GGCCGAACGGTGGACTGCTCACTCACGGACAGTTGTAGGCAGCACAACAGAATGCCGATCCACAGAAGAATGTCTCTCTTCTCAGGATGTCCCTGGATATCCTGGAAGCAGGCCACACCCCTAGGGAAACTCCCCTTGAACAAATTGGCCACTCAAAACACAGTCATCTGATCCTATCATGGGAACAACTACACAGAACTGGGGTCCAGCCAAGTTGACACACAGATCCAACTATCACACAGGGTTAATATAGGTTGAGCTAAAGCTTATGATTATGTGTTCCACTCCCAAGCACCATGGCTCTTTAAACCATGAGAAGAGACTAAGTTATGACTATGAGCCTTATCTCTTAGTTCTGGAAGGCATCAATACCAGGAGGATTCTGTTTGTGTCAAGGCTGACCTCCTTGGGACATCTCAGGTTATATTCTTGGAGTCTTTTGGCTTTGTGCCTCTGGGTCTGAGTGCTTTTTTCCAAGGCTATTTTGTACAATTAGTTTATCAATAGGACTGCAAATAGCCCAATTCTGTTAATTGAAGAAATCTATCTTTTATCCCAGAAAAAATGAATGTGGAAAGTTTGCACTTTTGAGGCAAAATTTGAGCGATTCCTTAGTTTGCCCACAAATGATTCTACAAGGATGGGCTCTAAAGTGGATACAGTTTGTTTACAGAGGCTTTACCCTCTTGTATGTCTTCAGATTTTAGCACTCATACTTTCTCACAAGTTCCCATTGCTGCTGTGTCACCACGAAGTTGAGAATTATTTAAACTAGTGAAATTACTTTTATAAAATTATTTGTTAAATTGTTTTTTGAAAAAAATTAATTTTGTTATTATAAAATAAATGTTTACTTTAGAAATGCATAAAAGGCATGGGGGTCTTCTGACCTCTTCTAACTTCACAAGAGGGAGACAGAATCACATCAGCAGCCCAAGGCTTATGCCTACGAGGTTAGACATGTCACCACCTGACACCTTTTTTTTTTTTTTGCCAATTCTAACACCAGCTATCCCTCCCATGGCACTCACTGCTTCTCTACTGGGTTTGATAATTTGTTGTAATGATTACTCAGAAGTCACAGCCAATACTCATGATTATGGGGGTTTATTAGGGAAGTAACATGCTACAACTCAGGTTCAGGAACACGCTCAGGACCTAGTTCTTCCATCAAGTCAGTCTCCCCTCTGCTGTGCCTGAGGGCAGGCATGGCTCTCTGGCTCTTCGTCTCTAGGCCTGGCCTCTGCCCTGCTCCAGCAAGTGTTACAAAGCTCTTTTGGCTTTGCTAGTCAGTACACCTATGTATATCTCGCTCTGCCAGCAAGGCTCCTGCCCAATGACACTCAACTTCCTCGCTTGGTGGGCCAGAAAAGCCCGTTGCTCTGTCTTGTGCCACTGGGTTCCACTGCTGTCTTCTCTAAGCTGTGTATCTCTCTGCTGGGTTCTCTCTGCTGGGCATTTATCTGCAGGTCATCTCTGCTGCGGAGGCCCAGTGCAGGCATCTCAGGTCCAAGGACACACTCCATTCCACCTCTGGCTTTTCTCTCTTGATGGCAGTGAGATCCCCTTTTTATCTCTAGGAAGGCTCATTTTAAGCCTGGCAGAGTGACAAAACTAACCAATCCCAACATCAGAGTTCTACACACACCTTATTTGCATGGTCTCACCCAGTAATCTGATGGGAGTTACAAAGACTATGGCTAGAAAAGCCATACCAAGCAATTCACTGAGCCACAGGAAAAAATGAAAAATAAATGAAAATATAGGAAGAAGTTTAAGTAATTTATGATCTCATTTCTAAGTCATTTCTAGTTTACATTTCTAGTCTTCTCTTTTCACATATTTTATATATTAGATACATACATATACTTTTTGCTGGGCAATCCTACTTCCGTAGTGATACTGCCTCAGAAACCCAAGGAGGGGTTGCTATGAATCAGGGACCACTTGACGGCATATAACAACAACAACAACAACAACTTTTTTTTTTTCAAAACTGGAGTCATAGTACATGTAGTTTATAAACATTTTTGCTTAATATTATGAATCTTTTTCCATGATATTAAATATTCCCTGATGCATGATTTTTCATGGCTTCATAATATTCCATGCTTATAAACTACTCTTTCTTGTTCAAATATTCATCTGTTTGGGAGCACTTAAAACATTTCCTATAAATTTATAGGAATTTGCAATTTTTTCTTTAGAAATGGTTCTTGAAAATAGATCATATGTGTGTATTTCTAAGAGGTTTGCCACATTGGCCTATTTTAACTTTGTGTTGTTGTTGTTAGGTGTAGTCAAGTTGGTTCTGACTCATAGAGACCCTATATACAAGAGAATGAAACACTGCCTGGTTCTACACCATCCATACAATCTTTGCTGTGCTTGAGCACATAGTTGCAGCCCCTGTGACTTTGTAGCATGGCAAATTGATATTGGTTAGAGGTCACTTGTTGTTGCTGTTGTGTTTGCCATCGAGTCACATCCGACTCATAGCAAGCCCTCCTTGGGTTTCCGAGGCAGTATCACTACGGAAGTAGATTGCCCAACTTTTCCTCTGAGGAGTGCCTGGTGGGTTTGAACTGCCAACCTTCTGGTTAGCAGTCAAATGCCTTAGGCACTTCACCACCAGAGCTCCCTAGAGATAACTATAAAAGTAAAGTAACAAACATAGAATATTGGATTGCAACTCAGGGGAACTTGGTCCAGATTTAAACCTTGTGATATACTAGCTCTGCCAAGGCGGTAAATCACTTAACATTTGCATGCTGAGAGTCCCTCTATGTAATATGGGTTTAAATTATTGTTACCAAGTACACAATGCTGTTTATATAAGAACATCATGAGTTAGGAAAAGTTCTTTGAATCTGTTGGATATTTGGTGAATTTCAAGCTTGGTCTCAATCCAACTTCAGGGCACTAACAATAGCTTATTGACTCTTCCCCCTTTCTTCCAGAATGAAGTAGATTATTTACCAAGTCCAAGTAAATACATTGCTTTCAACAGAGGCAGGCCTAATTCATTTCAGATGTGATTCTAAAAAATGCACTCTTGTGTTCTACCTTAGAGGGTGTCTGTGTTGTGAGAGACTAGCAGACATTAGAGCTTTTTTTCTTTTTTCCAATGGGTAACTTGTTTGCCTCCAAGTGCTTTTAAATATATTATTCCATTGGGATTTGATTTTTTCATCTATATTATTTTTAATGGGCAACTGGGCTTGAGCTAAGCATTGCCTACCCATTGCCTGTCCTCCAGTGATGCGATGGTCATCCAGAGATCTGTTGAGAGTTCTTTCCATATGGCTGAATCTCTCTTTCATGGTCTCCAATCTTCTCTTTCTTGTACAGCTTTTCTTAGTCTTCTCCGAAGTTGCTCCCAGAAAGCCACCCACTCAGTACTCCTTTGGGGAAGATTCAAGTAGTCCTCTTTCTGAAGCCAACAGGCAAGGCGGTGGTAGCCATGCAGCTGCTGCCGATCTATAGGCTCCAGAAAGAGCAGCAGAAGGTGAGCAGTTCCAGACTTGGCCACCAAGTGGTAGGTGGCAAGACTTAACTCTAAATTGCACCAGGGACTTCCCAAAGCCTGGTGGCTGAGCACACACAAAGTGGCTCTGCTGCTCTTCATGCTGGCAAACGTTGCGTCCAACCTGTCCTGCCCAACTCCGAAGTCTCTCTCTGGTAAGCATAGCTTTAAACCCTCACCATCTGGAAGAGGTTTCTCCAGGGCAGGAATCAGCTCTGCCAGCACCCAGGTTTGATCTTGCCTACAACAGGATATAAAGACATCATAATGGTAGTGGCTTCTGTGGTGCCAGCCACCCAACTTCCACCACCAGGCATGAAATAGAGTCCAGAGGTGGTGGAGCCAGGGCCATTTAGGGCACCCAAGCAAAGCAAAAATGATCAGCATGAGCACCAGAGTAAAGCTAGTTAGAAAGCTCTGAAGTCCGAGGTCATCTAGGCAGTGAACAGAAAAGAAAGAGAGAAGTGGAGTCTTGGAGTAGTCAGAGGCATTGGCCATGCAAATTGATTTCTGTAGCCCATACACAAAGGTATTTGGGGCCTGTGTTGCCCAAGGCCCTACCCAAGAGCTTTCACATTGGCAGATGAAGGTGACATTTGAGAAATAAACATATTGAGGCATCTGGGGGATAAGTTCTTGGAGGCTGCTGTCCATCCCCAGGGCCCATTCAGAGTTCAGCAGCAGCAGCTGTAGGAGGCCCAGGCCCCTGAAGGTGGAGTCTGAAAGGTTCCCAAAGTTCAGGTTGCTCAAAGTCAGCACTTCTAACTGAGGCAGCTCCTTCAGTAGCACCTCCAGATTCATTGGGCTTGAATAGTAGGGGGGGTTCTCCATGTCCCCCAGCTCCAGCACTCGCAGCTGGGGCATCCCAAACAGTTGTAGGTTTTCTGGTCCCTCATGATTAGACCAGAAGTGCAGGTGTTCCAGGAAAGGAAGCTGTGGGAAGAACCTCTGGGATTGATGGCTAGAGAAAATACTGGGGCTGCAACCTCGCAGGGTGAGGTGGCGCAGGGAAGGGAAGTGGATTGTGACATTGTTCGGATACAGCAACACGTTGGAAGTTTGTAAGGTAAGTTTCTCCAAATATAGAAAAGGTTCTCCATGGGGAACACTAAACTGGATGTAGGTGTTTGCTCGTACCTCTAAACTGAGCAGTGTTGAAGGCCAGGGAGGGTAGAGTTCCAGCATTTCAGGAGAACTCAGACACAGATGGCTCAGCTTCTGGGGACCCTGGAGCAGCCGGCCAGAGAAATACTCTATATGGGTGCCCAGGAGGTTCAGTGAGGTAAGAGCAGGAAGAGAGGAAAGCCAGCCTGGATTCAGCACCTTAATTTGGTTCCAACTCAGATCTAGGGTCTTTAGCCACCTCAATCCCCTTAAGGTCTCATTGGATAAGTTAGAGATGTTGTTACCACCCAGCCAGAGCTCCTGGAGTTGAGGAAGAGAGAAGGCTCTAGAAGGCAGAGCACTGAGCTCATTGTGGGATAGATCTAGCACTCTCAGGTTTGTGCTAACCAGTACTTCCGGAAGCACTAAGGTTGGTCCCAGCTTGTTCATTGATAGGTTAAGCCTTTGAAGCTGGGGCAAGGCACTCAGGAACCTGATTGGCAATGAATGCAGGCCATTGGCATGAAGGTTGAGGTGTTCCAGGGAGTGGAAGCCTGGGAGGTCCTCATCCATTATGTTCTGGATTTGATTCCTCCCAAGGTCGAGTGCTAAAAGCTTAAAGTAGGCTGTCACATTCCTGGGCAATTTTTCTAGACCTGTACCCACAAGGGAGAGGGAATCCAGATGAAGCAACCCTGAGTTTAAGAGTTCTAATGCACTTATCTGGGTGCCATCCAACCTCAGAGAATGGAGCTGGAGGCCATGCAAGGCTCTGATACCAACCCGACTCAGGTGTATGTTGGCAGAGAGATCCAGCATCTCTAGGAATGGGGACCATGGGCTAGAGTTGGCTATGGGTGAGGAATCAGGCCCAAAGCTTGGAAAGAGTCTTTGCAATTCCTGTAGCTCTGTCAGACAGCTGTGTGTCAGGGTCAGATTACTAAGACTGATAGGCAACTGGATGTTCTGGCTAGAATTCAGGCAATAGCCTTGGAATGAAAGGCTGTTGAGAAATCTGAGGGGCTTGAAGGCATCTGGAGGAAGAAATAGACTCAGACAACAGGAAGTGGGGTGCTCAAAGAAAAGGTGCTGCAACTGGTCCAATCCTTGAAATGCTCCAGATGTAATCCTGATGGGGCCCAGCTGTAGCCTTAGGAGCTGTAGTGTGGGAAAGTGCCCAAAAGCATCAGCTGGTAAGATAGAAACTGTGCCCTGGAGACATAGTGCCTCTAATCTCCTGGGCAGTGCTGTCAAGGTCCGTTTCAGGTCATTAACATTGGAGCATGATGCAAAAAGGTGCAGTCCTGGTGCCAAGGAACAGAATGGGATATAGTAGGAGATGTTAGATAACAGGGAGCTGTCTCCTACCACGCAATCAGGAGTAGTCCACGCCCAGCCCAAGCCTAAGCTCATCAAGAGCAGCAGTAAGAGAGAGAGAGGAGTAGTGGGGAGCAAAAGTCTTTCCATCCTTGATACTGCTTCCAGGGAAGGAGCAAAGGTCTTTCCATCCTTGTTACTGCTTCTAGGGAAGGAGGAAAGAAAGATGGATATCAATGTTACCAAAGCTGATGATCCCAGCCCAAGCCCCTCTGACCCATATAACACCTTGGGGAGTTCCACAAGATATCAGAGACACCGTTCTGTGATTAAGATACAAAGGAGACACAACTGACTAGAGGACACACATTGTGCACATTCATGAGAGCCTCCCTTCAAGCAGAGCGTCAGCAGAGAAGGGGACATAGAGGAACAGCAAGAAAAGCCAGTGACTTGGCATGGATCCCAGCAGAGAAACTGGTGACATTTTCCAATCCTCCTGCTGGGGGTGGCTAGGCTAGGTTTTTGAGTTTTTTTAAGGATGGAGTCCTCAGCTTATGAGGGGCTACCTACAACCCTAGGCAGCAAATATGCTTGTCACATAACAGTGGACTGGAGGGGAAAATTGGTGCTGATGCACACATGACAAGACCTTAAACCTACACTTTAATTTGGTCTTTAACCATATGGCATACATAGAACCAATGTCATTATCCTTATTTTATGGATGAGGTAAATGAATGCCAGAGAAGCTAATTAACTTAGTTGAGTTCACAGAAACAGAAAATCACAGAAGTGAGGTGACAATCCAGGTGTTCTGCCTTCAGGTTTGGTATCCTTTACACTACAGTAGTCTTCAGGCAGTACTAGGGAAATATTTCAAGTGAATTCTACTCTTGAGCTGATGGAAAATAAAGAGAGCCTTGAAAGTTAGTTCAGGAAAACAAAGTAAATGTTTGAGAAGTAAATGTAGTAGAGAAAGAAAGCAGAGGAATGAAAAGTTGATGAACAATGGAAACATGAAGTCTTACTGTTTCTGTAGTCAGAACACAGGGCTAGAGGTAGGAGGTAACTTTTTTTTTCCCCCTCATTGTTTATTTGTTCTTCTCCTTGGTAGAACAAATTCTCCATTTCTCTAGTTATCTATTATAAAATGGGCAGTAATCATACATCCCTCATATAGGTTCCTGAACGATGTTGTTGTTAGGTGCCTTGGAGTCAGCTCCTGCTCATGGAGACCCCGTGAATAACAGAACAAAATGCTTGCTGGTCCCGTGTCATCCCCATGATGGGTGCAGAGGGATAGGTGTTAGTTAACCATAAGTGACAGACATTCCTCTCCCAGGAGGGTTTGGGCTTATTCAGTAACTCATGCCAAAGGGCAAAGGAGGATTTGGCATTAGAAGATTTGTTTCAGTCTCCACTGGCTCTCTGCAGGGAGGGAGGCCTTAGTGTGCAAAACTTGAGTTCCTCTAGTCAGCCACATGTCTGCTTTATGTTTTCCCCTTGAGTTCTTCTTGAGGATAGCATGTCTGGCTGATCATAGTAAAGCTGGTGCTAGAAGCACTGAAGCTGCTTTCCTCAAGAAATAAACTTGAAGCAGCCATATATGACTAAGACTTCAGCAAAGGCCTGAGGAGAAGGGTCTGGGGACTCATGACTCAACTTTGCAAAACCATCAACCTCATTACGGCCTCATTACAATCGGACAATAAAACCAGTTGCCTTGAGTAGATGGTGACCCCCTACTTGTCAGAGCAGAACTGTGTTTCATAGGCTTTTCAATGGCTCATTTTCAGGAAGTAGATTGCCAGATCTTTCTACAGAGGAGCTTCTGGGTGAACCCAAACTGTCAACCTTTGTGTTAGCAGCCAAGCACAGTAACTGCACCACCCAGGGATACCTAATGTTACATCATTCTATGTCCATGGTTAGTCTCTTGCATTTTTGAAGAACTGTTTCACAACCCTTGCCTCCCCTCCACCCCAGCTTCCAACAGTGCAAATAATGTGCCATGTTATACTTGAACTTTCTTCTGTATTCTAGTATCTAGGGAGATTTCAATGACTGTATTAGTTATGAGATCTCAGACCAATAAGACACAATCACCTTCATATTTTAAGAATACAAAATAATCTTGGGAGTAGGATAAGGAGCCAAGGATGGTCCTTTGTCCTCAGGAATTATGGGCATTCCTTACTTAAATTACTCACTTAAACTGATAAAGACAATATCACTTAAATTGTCTACAAATGACAGTCGCTCATTTGATGGGGTAAATTCTGGTAAGCCTTAACCTAAATGTCCTCCTTATATCTTGCCTAGTCCCTACCTAGCTCCAGGTACTTGACATTCTCTAGAGATGTCTGGGATCTCTATGTAGGGGAGATGCTCGTTTTTTTTTTTTTTTTTTTTTAAATAAAAACCTTTTTTTTTCTCCCAGCAATTTTCACTATTTGCTCTTCTACCTTATCAGCAAAGTTTACCTGGTACTGGGACAGCAGTCTGCTTACCTTTGAACAGAGGAAAAGGAGATCAGTGGATTAAGAGTCAGAAGGAGTCTCTCTTGCCTTTTGTAGCATAGGTGCAAAAAGCCTTTTCTTCTGTGATTCTTTCCTCCATAATTGCTTGTACCCACTCTCACACGTAGGTGTGACACCCCTCTCATTTTATCAGAGGTAGGAAATGCCAGGGCAAAGTGAAGAGTGCTCTGTGAATCTCTCAACTTCTCCCCAACTGCACCTTTCTTCTTTTACCCTCTCATCTCAACTTTTGCTATTTCGTGTTTCCTCTTTTCCAATCTGACTTGGGGATTTCGTTTCTCACTACTTCTCTATCACATCCTGCTTAGGTCTAAAGAAAAAGTTTCTTTTCCATTTTTCAGGAGAGTTTGCTTCCTCATAATAACACCAACCCCAACCATCTCCAACATTTCTATGCCTCCTCCCTAGCCCAGAGTCTTAATATTAAGCTCCTTTGTAGCAGGAAGAATGAAAAAGAAACCACAATCTTTTTTCTTATTTTTAGGAAATCACAATCTTACCTTAGGGAAATCAACCCTGAAACTAAGGTTGAGGGGAGAAGAAAGTAAAAAGTAGACTTTATCAGAACAGGGAATTTTCTTTTCCAAATGATATGGGGTGCCTAGAAACTTCTAGGAAGGAACCCTTGTAATCAGAGCCAGAACTAGGCTTTGGTAACTTAGTATTCCAAAGAGAGAAATACCTTGTCTTGTAAAACGCTTAACTTGATTAAAACCTTTTCTTTTGGTTACCTAGTGCTGCTGTAACAGAAATATACCACAAGTAGGATGGCTTTAACAAACAAGAGTTTATTCTCTTACAGTTTGGAGTCTTTCAGTCTGAGTTCAAAGTGCCAGGCTCCATTGGCTGGGTGAAAGCCTCTCAACCTTGGGCTTCAGCTTTACCTCCTGCTCCCAGCCCACTGAAGCTGGAGGCTTTTCTTCCCTCAGGAAGCTGCTGGCTGCTGAGGCTGACAAACTCAAGATTTACAAGTGAAAACGCACAGTCCCATTGTTACCAAACAGCATGGCAGGTCACTAATTCAAGTCCATTGAAAGTCCCAAGATCAGCAGAGCATGGCAGGCTGCTGTACAATGACACAGCTACATGCAGGGTTCAAGCGTGCCGTGAATTAGAGACCATTCACAAAGCTGCTTCTTATATACGGGAAGCAGACCACATCCCTAAAGCAGCTACTCAGCTACTTGTGGTAGATCCAACTGTGGAGCTGATTGCCAGTCTCATCATGGGGAATAACTACCACCAACTGCCCAGCCACTCAAACAGGCCCAGCCAAGTTGACACACAACCTTAACTACCACACCTTTTTTGAATATATTTTGTTTTTCTCCCTCTGTTCTTAGAGTAACAATTGTGAAAGCTTGATATGGACACATTAAAGTAGTTCTTTTCTCTTTTGTCTCAAGCATTCATTTTTAAGTACGAAATGATTTACTCTGTTTAGGGATTGTGGAAACAAATTTGCTTTTTCTATATATTCATGAGTTCTGACTAAAATTTTACTCTCTGTAATGTTTTAATTTTTTGATTATTATTATTTCTGTCTTTTAAAGCCCTTCTACCCACTAAACCTGTCTTTCTTGCTGTTTAATCTAACATAAAGCTTTGCTTAAGAGGAGGATCAACCTCTTCAAATCAAAAAACCAAACTCACTGTTGTTGAGTCAGATCTGACTCACAGTGACTCCTTGAGTTTCTGAGGCAGTATCAATATAGAAGTAGATTGCTCAATCTTCCTTCCCAGGAGTGGCTGGTGGGTTTGAACTGCCAGTCTTCTGGTTAGCAGTCAAATGTCTTAGGTGTTATGCCACCAGAGCCTTCAGCCTCTTAAAGTAGATGATTAATTCTAAATTTCCATTATGTATTTAGTTTCTTATTTCGTACTCCAATACCTTGGTGGTAGAGGGTGTTAGTTGCAGGCTTAATATTGAATTTTTTCCTAAACTTCTCAATTCTCCATTCTATACTGGTAATAATGTGCCCAGTTTTTTTTTTTTTTTTTTTTTTTTTTATATAAAAAAGGAATATAAGTGAGTCTCTTCTCTGTTGCCTGAAACTTCAATTTCCTTCCTTAGATAATAAGGTGACCTGGTGGATGGAAACATGTGACAAGATGAATAGATCAAAAAGCTACGAAAGCCTGGGTCCCTAATGACATCCTGGGATAGTCTCCCTCTGGACTGCCACGGACTGTCTACCTCTGGATTATTTTAAGAAAGAAAATCTTTATCTTGCATAAACTGCTGTGTTTGGGTTTTCTGTTATATGTAGCCAAATCTAAGTGTAATATATACAACAATTCTGAGTTTTTGGATATATCTTGAGTTTCTTCTTTGTCTCCACTATTCGAGTGGATAAAGTGTGGATAAAATGAGTTATTTAATAAAAATAATCATTTATTCAAACTTATAAGTTTTGTGTTCTTTGCTTCTCTGGAGAATAAGCTGAATGCCCATTTTTTCAAAAAATGACGTTTTTTACTAGGATGATTTAAAGTATATGTATGGTAGGTAAATGGGTTATTTCTTGAAAAGAGATAGACATTTGAAATACATTGTTAAAGAAAAGAGAAATAAAAAATTGAGAGGTATCTAAGGAATAATTATTCAAATGACCTTTTTAGGAAAGTTGGCTCTTGGAATGGTGGTAAGCAGGGAGCTCAGGTGAGAGGTAGAAACATGTAGCTGGGAAGTCCCTGAAGAAAATTTTCCTGTTTGAGATGATTCATTGGAGTTTCACTTGATTATGTGGTGTATACATCCATTTTTGCTCATTTCTTTCTGTTCCAAACATCTCATATAAAAACTGCAAAGCCAGAGTTTTCTACCAGGAACTTTAGAGAAGGAGCTGATTCTGAGTGAAATAGAAGCACTAGGCAACCTCATTTACTCCTCTCCACCAAGTGACTCCGCTGAAAAGTCTTTGAAAAGCTGTGGAAAAGCACAGCTATAAGGCTTAGCAAAGACAGTAGCATTTTCTTTTCCTTATGTGTAAAAAGAAGACAGATGCAATTAAGTTGTGTCTTAAAGTGTTACTCTAAATTTTATATTCCCTTCCAATCATTATTTTTTTTAACTCTTCATCGTTTGAAAACTGGATAAAGAGTTTATTCTTGAAAACTTATGTAAATCTATTGACTATTAACATAAAAGAGGAAAAATAAATTTAAATTACCCATAATATCATCACTCTATATTTGAATTGGAATTATATAATTATAGTGTTCTGTAATCTGTCTTTTCCACCTAATAGCATAATAAACATTTTACTTCTTAAATATTTCTTATAATTATTCTCCACATAGTGTAGTGATTGTGTTAAAAGAATAGAAAATAAATTCCTTACAAGTATGTCTCCTATATTTGTTTCTTCTTTTCAGCATTCATGTATATATAGTTCTTTGGCCTGCGTGGTCATGTAGTTCTTCTGAAAGTAGCTACATGAGATAGAGCCATCTTTGGGTTTCCAAAGTAGTATCTCTACAGAAGTAGATTGTCCAATTTTCCCTCTGAGGAGTGACTGGTGGGTTTGAACTTCCAGCCTTCTGGTTGGCAGTCAAATGCTTTAGGCATTATGCCACCACAACTCCCAGATTTAGCCATAGTCCCAGGAAAGAATGCATGATAGTGAAGAAATCTTACTGAACTTGAAGTCAGTAGAACTAGTTGTTTCATTTATCATTTGTATGACCTTGGACAACACACTCAGTTCCTTTGGATTTCATTTATGAAATGACTAGGAGACTATCTACCCTAACTATGTTATAGAGTTTTTGTGAGGATGGACTGAGAGAGTATGCCAAAGTATTTTGTAAATGACAAAGAGTTTTGCAAATGAAAGATTATATTAATTAGCTTTACAAATGAAGATAATAATGATAATATTAATAATATTTATGTTAAGAGATAATAATACAATGAAAGATAATATTACTAAAGATAAAGTTGATTAATAATAATATTAATCAACTCCATATAATACTATGCATAAGGTACTATACAGATTTACCGCATTTACTCATCATAGCCACTCTGATGAAAGTATTATCCCTAGCTCCATTATGCACATAAGAAAAACCAAGATGGAAAGTTTAAATAATTTGTACAAGTTCACACAGTTAGTAAGTGATAGAATTTATATTTGAAAGCAAACAGTCTGATTCCAAAGTGTTGACATTTTTTGTCTATAGTAGTAAAGAGTGTGGGCTCTGGAGTTAGTATTCCTGAGATCAGATACCATCTTCCACTAAGTTCTTCTTTGTGCCTGTTTCATCCTCTGTAAATTGGAGATATAATAGTACTGACCTAATGTCTTTGGGTTGTCATGAGTGAGAAATGAAGTAATACATATAAAGGACTTAGAACAAGTGTGGCACAAAACAAGTGTTTCACAAAGTTAATTCTTATTCCTTTCAATATTGTCAGTAAGACAACGTGGTGGTGAGTTTGCAAATCTAAAATTGTTAGACTAATAATTTTCTTTTCTTTTCTTGTAATACTGCATTCCTTTGTACCCTGTACACTCATTTTACCTGAGATAAAATATATAAAGTTTCATTATATAAATAAATTTTACTTTGTGAGTGAATTAGTTGCAATCAAGGGAGGTTAAATGCTTGGTCAATTTAACAAAGATATAACCAAAAAACCAAACTCACTGCCATTGATTGATTCTGACTCAGAGTGACCCCCACTGGGTATATGAGGTGGTAAATCTTTAAGGAAGTAGATTGGTCTGTCTTCCTTCCCTGGAGTGGCTGGTGGGTTTGAACTGCCAGCTTTCACAGATATAAAGGCAGCTAATAAAAGCCATGACTCATAGTTGAAAGCAGAAAATACTTTCTCTTTTCATTTCCCCTAAGGAAACAACTAACCAGCACCTATTTTTAAATACCTTGCTCTGTTCTAAGAAACTTTTAAATGTTTGGGGAAAAAAAAAAAAGAATATTCTTATTGCTATTCTTAAATTATCTCTCTCTGCTCTCCTTCTGTTTCCTTGGAATGTGGTTTGGCTTTGATAAATTATAGTGTTAAGTCAAATAATTTAATACTATGGAAAGAATTTTGAATCAACCATAGTGTTTGGGGTGATAAGAATAGACAATAGGAAAGCTAGTGGCTGCAGAAATGCATGACTTTACTAACTCCAGAGAGGGAGCTCTGATGGAGTTTTGATGGAAATATTGCCTGCTTTGACGATCTGTTCTTCAGAGCCCTTTACTGATCAGATCTCAGGAAACTTAAAAATTATATTCTCTGGGGAGGGGATATAGGGCTAGGAAAAATCCTTAATAGACTATATAAAACAAACAAACAAACTAAACTCAAACTCATTGCCCAAGTTGATTGTAACTCATGGCGACCCCTGTTGGGTTTCCGAGGCTGTAAATATTTATGGAAGCAGACTGCCTCATCTTTCTTCCATGGAGAAGGTAGTGGGTTTGAATCACTGACATTTTGGTTAGCAGCCGAATGCTTTTCCACTACACTACCAGAGCTCCCTGATGGATTGTATAAGTGAGATATATGTGGCAGAATTCTGATAAGTAATATTGACAATGGGGTTTGAGAACTTCTCATATCAAAGGAGCAGATAGCTTTTCTATCTGAGATGTCTATGCTAAAACTTAAAATAACTTGCTACTTTTTGAACTGAATAATCCATGCCTTTGCAAGGAAATTGTTATAAGATAAAAATGTTAAAAGAAAAATTGTTGCATGCATTTTGTGTTCTTCTATCCTGGATCTTCTGGGAGAGTTCTGTTTTTATAGGTTAGATGATGAGTCTTAATTTGGGTTTGTAAAAAATCATCATAGCAAATGCTTGTGAAGATTATTTTGAGATTTCTTTTTTTAATAGAAAACAAATGGAAACAACTTTAATGTCCAACAAAAGTTGTGGTGGATGGAAAGAGGATGTGGAATTTGTAGTAATATTACCACTGAATGCTGAGTATTCATTCTGTAAGTAGTCATTATTGTGTACTGGTGGAATTTCTTTCTTTCTAATCTTCCTCCTGCAAATTCCCTCTCTTATTATGCTTCACAAGCCATCTTCAAACTACTTGAAAGGAAAACACTCCTTCCAGGAAAATGTTCATCTCAATACATAAAAATTCACAATCCATACAATATTACTTCAATGAAATAATATAAAACTCACTGCTGTCGAGTCAATCTTGACTCATAGCGACCCCTCCTTGGGTTTCCGAGGCAGTATCACTACAGAAGTAGATTGCCCAATCTTCCTTCCGTGGAGTGGCTGGTGGGTTTGAACTACCAGCCTTCTGGTTAGCAGTCAAAATGCCTTAGGCACTATGCCACCAGAGGTGTCATGAAATAATATAGTTCCTAAAAATGATGATCATAAACTTTCCATATAAGAAACAAGTTTGACATATTAAATAAAACAGACACCATAAAAATAGGAAGTTGTGTTAGAGTGATTGAATTATGGATGCATTTTTGCTTTAGAATTTTCCTTAACAGCATCATAATATTGTTCAGCAACAAATAGCAGTAACTATGTTACTGTTCAGCAACAAATTTAATGCAAATAATTTATTCCCAGGTGAAACATTTTCCCTCTTCAATTTTTAGGATAAGATATTCTCATCAAAAACTCAATTAACTGATCCATTAAAGTTTTCTTTTCTTTTAATGATACTTCATTTAGATAAAAATATTAGGTGAACAGAATACTGCATTTCTGAATATTTTAGCTGATGTTATTATACATGGAATTAAAATCTGCCTTTTAGGAGCTTAAAATGAGGTAATATGAAAACAACATATGAATGGATGCCATTAGGAAAGAATGTTATTATTATCCCATAGAAATTTTGGATATATTGCTTTCTAAGAGTTTGTCAGAAATGACCATATCACCCAAGTAATTGAGTAAAATATAAGAACAACAATCAGAAAAGTATAGCTTATTTTTTAAATTTTATTTACAACCAAATAAGCAAACAAAAACAGTTATAGTTTTATTGATCCTTGAACTATAAATTATCAAGTAGAACATAGGAATTTTTATCACAGATTAGCCATATGAAAACTATTCAAAAAATACTCAAATGTGTATATTCCTTAGTTAATGCACAGCTGAAATGCCAAAGTGGAACCCAATAGTTCAATTTACCTACAAAATTTGACCATTGTCTGATTGTAAATTATCCCATAGAAACTTACTTTAATAAGTCAAATCAATATCACTAGACTTATACTTGAAGATTTGGATAACTATGTAATGTTGATTACTTTTTATTGAGTATACTGACCTAATCCTGAAGAAATCATGTAGTATGTCTTAGCTTATGTTGAAACTTCCCAGAACTTTTCTTAAGGCTGCCTTCATCTCTTTATTCCGGAGGCTATAGATAAGGGGGTTGAAAAGTGGGGTCACCATAGCATAGAACAAGGTTGCAACTTTTTGCATCCCAGCAGAATGTCCAAGTCCTGGGCTCACATACATGACCATCAGGGAGCCATAAAACAGTGATACCACAGCTAAATGAGACCCACAGGTTGAGAAAGCTTTACGTCGCCCACTGGCTGAAGGCACACGCAGCACAGCTAAAAGGACAAGAGTATAAGATCCAAGGATGAAGAGGAAGTTACCAAAGATAACTAATGAACTTAGAGTGTAGCAGAACATTTGGATTGCTGGAGCGGAGGTACATGCCACTGCAAATAGTGGCCCTGGATCACATACAACATGGTCAATAATGTTTGGGCCACAGAAGGGCATCTGAGAGATGAGAATAATGGGGATCAGGAACCACAGAAATCCACAAATCCAACAGATAATGACTAGTTTGACACAGAGATAACTGGTCATGATATTAGGGTAATGCAAGGGACGACAGATAGCAAGGTACCGATCAAAGGCCATGATGGCTAAAAGGAAGCATTCAGATGTGCCCAAAGAGAAAAAGAAATAGAATTGGAGGAAACAACCAGCAAAGGAGATAGTTTTTGTCTCTGAGAGAAAGTTGACCAACATCTTGGGGACTGTAGAAGAGACATACCAGATTTCTAGAAAGGAGAAATTTCCCAGGAACATGTACATAGGGGTGTGGAGCCTCTGGTCACACCACAGTGCACAAATAATGGCCCCGTTTCCTGTTATGGTCAGAATATATGTTGTAGTGAAGAGTGAGAAGAGGAGGATCTGAATCTGCCACTCAAAAGAGAAAGTTAGGAGTATAAATTCACTCACAAAAGCAAAACTGGAATTTTTCTTGGAGACATTCATTGGGTCGGTAATCTGCAAAGTTAAGAGACACATTATTATCAATTATGACTAATCTAAAATGTGCCATTTTTAGAATGAAGTGAAGACAATGAACATGTCATTTTCCAACAGAATCATCAATTAAAAAGGGAATGTTTCTACCTATTCTTGGCCATATACTTTCAGTGTTGGGCACAGAAGGTAGCTGTCTGCATAGAAACACGTTTACCTGTTTCTAAACCTCTCTCTTTCTATGATACCATGAAAGAACTATGTAAAGTTAAATCAATTTTTAAGCTTGTTATTTTTGGGCAGGGTTGTTCTGTGACAGTTTCCACCTAGAACTTAGCACAAAGTTAGTATTTAATAAATGTACTTATTTCTTACCTAAACCCATCCTATTATGCAATAGAGTCAGAAAGGAGGTTTTAGGTATGACTTTTCACCTCTGGGTTAAAGATATCACTTAATATATCATATAAAGATGCAAAGGAAAGAGATATACTTTACATTAAGTTGGCATTCATTCCTTTAAAACCTATATATCTGACTTTTTGTTGCTGCTGTTGTTTGCATAGGCATCATAAAAATGTGATTGCATAATATTACTTACCGATATTGACTTTTAAGGTTGTATTGTTGCAATATCTTCTGTATAAAACAATGGCTTTAAGTTTATTTGTAGTCGTTCACTTTTGCAGAAATTTGCAAAAGGAAAGGAAAGTATGAAGTTTTATTTTTAATAATTTTTTTTTCCTAAATGTTCAGGATTGATTTTCCTTATATGCTTGTGAAAATTAAACAAAATTTTCTACTACAGAAGCTGGGTGACAGAAGTAAAATTATTTGTCTTATCATAAGTAAACTTCTTTTATTTCACATTCTCATGGGAAAGATATCAAGGATGAGGGGGTCCCTGGATTTTTTTTCTTTTTTGTATTTGGCAGTATTCCTCAATATGAGTCCCAGAAGTCATGAACGTTTACATTCTGGGCATTAACACAAAATTTTAAAAAGAAGTTCTTCCCCTAGCCTGCTCTCCACTCCAGCCCACTGGTGAGTCTTTTAGAATGGTTCAGTGGAAGCTGTGTTTATGTGTCTTCCAGTAACTTGTACCTCTTTTTAAATTGCCCTAAACCAGGAGCATTATGAAATCAGTATTAAGAAATTATGGAATGAAAGAAGATTGACACAGGGGTGTCACAAACCTCAGCAAACATCAACAGATGAAACTATCATGACCTTGATCTGGATCACATCTCCAAAGGAGCTATTTGATAAACTATATACTTCTGTCTCCAGCTAAATAGTTTTATTGCTGCACAAAATTAAAAGTGCCCTTTCTTCATCACATATTTACCTGGCACTTGGCCTCTATACATTAGAAAAGTTCTTCTTCTCTATGAATCTTTAAAAAGTTGACAATTATATGTTCTGTGAGGAATTAGGAAAGAGTTGTGACAACTTTTCTGAAGCACTGTGATTTACAAATAGCTTTTCCATCTGGAATATCCAGAAGGATGCCAGGAGTATCCAGAAGACACAGTCTGAGGAACTGTAAGATGCAGTGTGTTGTAAAAAGTTCAGACATGAAGTTGAGAAACATTTCAAATGTCACTGTTGGTGGGTTGGAGACTACAGAGGTAGGATGTGGAGAGCCAGGTAAAGGAAATGCTGAGATACAGAGGACATTGATAATAAAATTTGGAGAAATTGGAAATGACTTTTTAGAAGAGCTGTTGTTGTTAGTTACCACTGGGTTGATTTCCACTTATAGTGACCTGTGTGATAGAGTGGAACTGCCTCATATGGTTTTGTAGGCTGCAATCTTTATAGGAGTAGGTCACTAGGTCTTTCTTTTGCAGAGCCACTGGATGAGTTTCAGTAGCTAACCTTTCAGTTAGCAGCTGAGTGCTTAATCATTGTGCCAACTGACCTCCCAAGAATGGCAGAAATCTTTACATATGAAGGTAAAGAGCAAGAAGCATTACTATTTAAATCAACTGATTGAAATACTTCCTAACTAATATGAAATAAATACAGATATACCTTGGAGATATTGCTGGTTCAGTTCCAGACCACCTCAATAAAGTGAATATTGCAATAAAATGATTTACATAAATGTTTTGGTTTCCCAGTGCATATAAAGATTATATTTACACTATACTGTAGCCTATTAAGTATGCAATAGCATTATGAAAAAATTTGAAATATTATGAGAATTACCAAAAGGTGACACAGAGACAAGAAGTGAACACATGTTGTGGGGAAAAAAACAGCAATAGACCTGCTCTATGCAGTTTTGCCACAAACTTTCAATTTGTAAAAAACGTAACACTTGAGAATTGCAATCATGCAAAATACAACAAAATAAGGTATGCCTGTATTTACTTTAATTAATTAATGTCCTTTCCATTTTTACTTAAAGCATTTAGGGTCTACATGATATGATTAATTCATCCAGGTAGAAATGTCTCAGCCTACGAAACCACATGGGGCAGTTCTATATATTGGAATTGACTTGATTGCACACAATAATAACTATGCTCTCTTTTTCTCTCATTAATCTGAATTTAGGTATTTTGACAACTTAACTCTTTGTTCTAATGCTCATGTTTTGGGCTACATTCTAGAAAAGGGGAAGACTAGTGTTATTTTGGATGGAAGTCACTTCCAAATTAAAGCTTGTTCTGGGAATAAATCCTCCATTGGACAAAAGCATAAAATATAATGTTGAAAGTATTTTAATATTCATACATCAACAGGCTCTCTTTTAAGACTGATTCTTTTTATCCTCACAACACTGCAAAGAAAGTTCTATTATGATTGCTACTTTACACATAGGATAATGGAGAGAGACACTTATGAAGTCATACTATTAATGGCTTCAGAATTTGAATTTAGGTGAATGTTTTTGAGGTTCTATGTTTGGTTTCCAGACCTACCTCTGATGTATGCTGCAGAAGCATCCCTCCTACCTCAAGACAAGGCTATGTGTCTTTCTGTTTCCTTCCTAGGAACTTTTCTGAAGGTAGGGGTGCTGCCTGGCCCACCAATCAATGCATCTTAGAAATATAGGGGAGTTAATATCCCCAGGGGCAATCAGGGACTAGTTGATTAATGCCTGAGCCTCATGACATTCAGATAGACAATTGTCAGAGGTTCCAGTGGAATCAAGTCCCAAATGACTATAGTAGGTTTTCTTCTTCCTTCTTCCTGGGACCTTTTCCCAATAAACTACTTATATACACAAGTCCTTGCCTCAAGTTCTTCTTTTGGGACAAACTGAACAACTGCCTTCAATTGTGTTAAGAACAAATGATTACTTACTACCTATTGCAAAAGGATTTATTATCTGATAGTTAAAGTTACTAGCTTTCACAGTAGAGAGAGCAGTACTTAATTTTATTCATTTAATGCCCTAACTAGAACTTTATATATCTAAGCAATGAATCATATTAAGAATCAGAATAGGGAAGTGGGAGAGGAACAATTAAAGAAGAGGATGTGTGAAATAAGAACCACATGGAACTTCAACTGTAGGTGTGTTCCTTGGCAGATTAGGCTTATGAAAATATACATATGTAAAATGAGGTCTGGAAATGGAAACTATTAATGCTTCTGTACTTCTTGGAAACTTTTCACTTAGCCCCAAGGGCACAAAAAACCCAGCTTGGAAACTACTTCTATAATATAATATGACCAAACACATGCTATTTTGAGTTGAAATGGAGGAATAATATGTACTCTATATCTCAGAAGATTAAGGTCTGTTGTAAAGGGCTTTGCCAAAGCTAACGAAGAAGTAACTTCCATAGGTAGATCTATGATTTATTTTGATTCTTACAAAGAACACAAGAGCACATGATTCATCAAAGTTCATACTCAATTAACATTTGAGTGCTTTCTACATGTTTGGGATTGTTTTTGGAAATTATATACTCATTATCTCATTAAAGCCTCATACTAATAGTTCTCTAGTATAGAAATGCCTACTCCTGTTTTACAATTGAAGTTAAGTGACATGCCAAATTTACATAGCTGATAAATGGAAGAATTAAGTTCAGATCCAGATCTTCTGATTTGAATTCCTTCTGTTTTCCAAGACATCACAATAAGATTGGTAACCTAACTAGAAGCGGAATAGAAACACAAGCCCTTCCTATTTTAAAATGTACATATCTAGTATTCTGTTGACTGACATTGTCCCTAACACTGAACTTCCACCCACAACCCCAGATATTCAGTGAATATTTACTGAATGAATGATTGTAAAATGAGTGAAAGTAAAAAGATAGTTTAGCTAGATTATTCCACACTCCTCCTGGTCCTGTCACCAAAAGCTTCTAAAGACATTTTAAACATTTCCAGAACTCTCCACAGAGCATTTTTCATTTCCTTATTCCTAAGACTATAAATCAGGGGGTTGAAGAGTGGAGTCACCATTGCATACAACAAGGTCATGATCTTAGGCATCAACGTGGAGTGGCTGGACCCAGGGCTCACATGCATCACCATAAGAGTACCACAGAATAGCAGTACCACAGCCAGGTGGGATCCACAGATTGTAAAGGACTTATGCCGACTAGATGCTGAGGGTAACCTAAACACAGTAAGTATAACCACAATGTAGGAGATGAGGATGGAAAGGAAGCTAAGGAGGACAATGAGGGAGCTTAGAGTATAGCTGGCAAGCTTGGAAATGGGGGCAGGAGCACATGAGAGGGTCAGTAATGGACCTGAATCACATACAAAATGGTCAATTACATTAGGGCCACAGAAAGGCAGTTGGGAAATGAGAATAACAGGTACCAGATATCAGAGAAAAGCCATATATCCAATAAGAAATCACTGGATTGAAACAATGTTGTCCAGTCATAATTGTGACATAATGGAGAGGGTGACAAATAGGAAGATATCGATCAAAGGCCATTGTGGAGAGAAAGAAGCACTCAGTAGAGCCCATGGAGAAGAAAAAATGTAACTGGAGGAAGCAACCAGTAAAAGATATGGTCTTAGTCTCAGAGAGGAAGTTGACCATGTGTTTGGCACTG